CCCTATGTCTTCAAGATTTTTACCTACTTTCTCTTCCAATAGATTTAGTGTTTCTGTTTTAATATTGAGATCTGTGATCCATTTTGATTTGTTTGATGCAAGGTGATAGACTTGCATCTATTTCCAGTCTTCAGCCAGTGGCAAGCCAGTTTTTCCAGCACAATATATTGAAGAGTCTGCCTTTCTTCCAATGAACTTGTTTGGCCCCTTTATCAATTACCAAATTCAAGTGTATAAAGTTGGTCAAGAAAAAAGAAAATTTTAAGCATTGACTGTTCCTCTCAATAAACTACAGACATCAGCAATACACCTATTCCACCTATCCTTACCTATACATATAGTTTTTGTTTTTCATTTTAAAAAACCCAACATAACAAAAACAAATACATAAAACAGCATAAAGAGCAATAAAAATACAGAATTTCAAAACATAGTGATAGGGTATTAACAATGGTTGTTGTACTATACAGTGTCACCTTCAAAATGGTTGCACATATAACCAGATATACACACGCAAGATTGATCAAACAACTACACATTAACAGTTCCTTTCAATAAACCCACAGATATTACTAATACAATTATCCTAGCTATCCTGTGTATATATAAACACATATTTTTTTCCTCTTCTTTCTTTTTCCTCTCCCCTCATCCCAGTTGCTCCTTCCTATTTTCCCTTTCACAATATCTATTGTACCTTTCAGATTTTATTTACTCTTTCAGGTTCATATTATAGTGAGGAAATATGATATTAACACTTGTGAATCTGATTTATTTCACTAATGAGTATGTTCTCTAGTTGCATCCATTTACCTATAAAGGCCTCTTTATAGCTGAGTAATACTCCATTGTATAAAAATACCACAACTTTTCTATCCATTCCTCAGCAGATGAACATTTGGGTTGTTTCCAGGATTTAGCTATTACAAATTGTGCTACTATAAACATAGGTGCCCATATATCACTGTGATCTGATGTTTTGACTTCTAGAAAAATACCCAGGAGTGGAATAGGTGGGTTGAATGGGACCTCTAATCCTAGTTTATTGAGGAATCCCCAGACTGATTTCCCCAATGGTTGCTCCAGTCTACTGTCCCAACAGTAGAGGAGTTCCTTTTTCCCCACAGCCCCTCCAGCATTTATTATTGGTTGATTTCTTGTTCATAGCCATTCTTTCTGGGGTGAGACGGAATCTCAGTGTTGTTTTAATTTGCATTTCTTGGATGACTAATGACGCTGAACATTTTTTCATGTATTTCTTTGCCATTTGTATCTTTGCCATTTGAATATTTTTCCATTTCCTGAAGTCCTCTTTGATCTTGGTGGAGCGTACCTAATTCTTGCAGGCCTCAGATGCAAACTGCGATGTCAGCGGATTGCAGGGTGCCTGATCCAGTGTCCCCCGGCAGCTCAGGGCATGCGGATGACCCGGAAGCGGGCTGCACTGGTGCATGATCATGGACCACTTGGTCCTGTGTCCCCAGGCAGTTCAGGATGCAGGCAGAGCCCAGACATGAACCACAGGGTCAGCAGTTTGTGGACTGCCTGATTCTTTGTCTCCACGCAGCTCAGGCACGTGCACAAGCCAGATGCAGACTACATTGGTGGTGATCACGGACTGCCTGTTTCTGTCTTCCAGGTCAGAGCGTGCGCAGAACCCAGACATGAACTGTGGTGTCAGCAGTTCGTGGACCCCTGATCTAATATTTCAGGCAGCACAGGGCATGTGCAGGGAGGGCCCAAATGCGAACCCCCGTGTTAGCAGTTCGTGGGCCTTCTGAGCCAGTATCCCTGACTGCGCTGGGTGCATGGAGGGCAGAGACAGACTATCTTCCCTTAGTATTTTTGAACCCCAGTTGAACACAAGTAACTGAAACCACAGAATACAGAATCATGAACAAGAGGCAACAACTGTATTTAATTTTACCAAAAGTCTGGCACTGTCTTCACTCACAGGAAATATGACCTTGCTGTGTAGCATCTCCAGGGTAAAAAAATAAATTTAAAACTTCAAGATTCAGCAAGACTGAATCTGCTGAGCAAGTTAGCCTTTGCTTGACTTTCCCCATCCCTATTCTAGTCTTAGTAGTGTGGTACAGATCTAAAATGTTCCTGACAGTCTTGTGTTCAGAGGTGGAGTCCGAGGGGACGAAGCGTGTCACCATGGGGTCCCTTTGGAGAGCACAGCCCTCCACAGGGCCTCTATTCTCCCTCCTTCCTGACTGCCGTAAGATGAACAGCTTTTTCTACTGTGCTCTCCCACCATGATGATCCTGCCTTGGAGCCAGCCGACCATGTACCGAGCCCCTAAGGAGTCAGCAGTATTGAACCTCTCCTTTAAATTGTGGGTGTTGGGATTTTGTCCCAGCCACCGGAAAGCTGACTCACACACCTAACTCGGTTGTTTCTAAAAACATTCAGACCGCAGAGGCTCAGCTAGGGGCCTCCTTCTGCCCTTCACCCTGCCTGTAGGAGGGCAAAGGACAGGAATGAGTGTGTTTACTTCCCCCATTCTGAAACCAGGACTCTAGTACTGCTCTGCGCCCTCGGGCCCTTAAGGTTCTTTCTGGAACATTCCATGCTGTGATGCTGTGCAGGGCTTCTCAGTAGGATTATGGACCATAAATTTCAAATTAACCCCAACCTATTCTTCTAGTGACAAGATATTTATAGAAGTGGTGCTCCACAGTATATTTACAACCTTTGCATGAGGCACATGAGAAAGACAGAAACATAATCTGTCAACATGTATCAGTTGATACCTTTATTATCTAGCTAGGGAAGGTGATTGGGAATTGGCTAGAAAAGGTACAACAGGGCTGGGGATATAGCTCAGTGGCACAAGCATATGCCTGGCAAGTGCAAGGTCCTGAGGTCAATTACTAGTACAAAAAAATAAAATAAAAAAATAAAAAAGGTAAAGTCCCCAGATGATTTAGCCATATAAAACCTGGGATCAAGGCAAAGTGAGAACAAAATGCAGTATACTCAAGCTCCTCAAATCCTTAAAATTTATTGACCACAGTACAATGGTATTTCTCTGGGAAAATGCTACTTATCCAGGACAGAAATTCTTGTCATAGTACTGCTTTTCATATATAAATCCTTAAGTACTTTTCTTACATTTTTTTTTTAATCCTCTAACCTCAGTCTCCTAAGGGCTGCCAGGTCCTTAAATTCTTTTTCTTTTTAGTCCATAAATTCTTAGACACAGAAGATATTTCCTTTATCAGAACCCTTAGAAGAAGGGCCTGAAAGGATTTTTTTTCTCCTGTAAGGTTGAATTTTAGGAAAATAAGAAAGTTCTAGAACTTTTAAGAGGATTAGAGTCTTTGCTAAGACCATGGATGTGAGTGTTCCACTTCTCAACATATGTTAAGCTGTGTTAAAGTTCAACTTGAGAAAGATCTATCTTTGTGACTTTTATTCCCAGGAATGCCAGTTATTATACTGACCAATGCCTGCAAGGCATGTGGAAAGGCAGAGGGCTCATTCTGCTCAGTGCCGCTTCTACCAGCTCATCTAGTAAGGTGGGTCTGACAAGGACCATTTCCAGGAGAGCAACCTAACATTGTCCTGGTCGCATCCCAGTTCTTGCTGAATGCTCTGCTGCACCGCTGGCACCCTCTTCTTCCCTTGTTCTTCACCAAAGGAGCACTCTTAGCTCTCTGCTCAAGCTAAGTGCTGCAGAGTTGCTCTTTTTCCCCATCAGGAAGGCGTGGGAATTGAGGTCTTGAGCCAGTGAGGGGCACAGGAACTCCAAACCCTGGTTTCAAAGAGCACCTACCAAAGCTGTGGTTCACATTCTTGCAGTTGTATTAGGAATTAACATTAAATGAGACCAAAAAATGAATAAAACTCGCTGCACGTGGTGGCACACCACCTGTAATCCCAGCACTTGGGAGGCTGAGGCAGGAGGACTGTTTTGAGTTTAACACCCACCTAGGCTACAAAGTGAGCTCAAGGCCAGCCTGAACTGCATAACGAGACCCTGTCTCAAAGAAAGACAAAAAAATAAAGAAATGAATACAACTGCCACATGCTTCCTTCTTGGTCTAAAGCCACATGAGAGCATAGACAAGGCTACCCTGGAGACATGCTGACACTTTATTTGTATCATCTTAGGAAGGAGGTGGCCACAGCACTTTCAGGCTTTGCATCTCAAGCACAAGTGTTCTCATTTCTGCCCCAAGTAGTGAACTTTCACTCCCAGGACAAAAAGTACACATTGCCCTGTGTGTCTCCCACAGCAAGCTGCAGCGTCGAGTCAGGTCCCAGCCATGGGTGCAGGCAGCTCACTGCCCCTTCACACTGGAACAGGCCCAGCTAAAACAGAACACAGGGGGAGGTGAGGGTCAGCTACCCAGCCAGGCTCTCTTTAGTAACTTATTTTTTTCTCACAAATAATCGCCTTTTATTTAGAAGCAAGTACATCACTCCAAAAGCAATTGAAGAAAATGGACTTCAGATCTTCTGCCTTTTCTTACCCAAATAAGTTCTCTTGTAACATCCCTTTGATCCCTTCCTGTAAGTGTGCATGTATGCGCGTGCGCGCGCGTGTGCACACACACACACACACACACACACACACACTTACCAGCTGCATACTGGGTCTCGCCCACAGCTTAACATCTCTATCCCTCGAACCTGTCACCAGCATCCCAGGCAGCACATGGAGGGCTGTGACAGAGTCCGAGTGAATCTGAGAGAGGAGGAGAAGATGTCATGCTGAGTGTTCAGGACAGAAGTATTGAGGTCTGCTGGGTCAGTTACCACCTCCTCCCCTACCTTTGTGACCCTTGCTTCAAACCCACCTTTCTACACTGCTGTATCTTTAACTTTGTGGGCGTCCAGTTGTCCATGCTGGCACAGGATGGGTCCATCCCTGCAGCCTGGGCTTCAGCCTGCCAGATGTTACCTGTGGTCCACTCTCCTTCAGGGGTGCATCCCGCCAGGGTCCACAGCACTCCATCAGAACTGGCACACAGGAATGAGGACTCTGCCATTTGAAAGGCAGAGTTGGAACCTGTCCTGCACTTCTGAGGATCCACCCACCTCCCCTAGGGCATCTCAGGGCCTCTCTGGTCTTCCCAGCCCACGCACCAGATTCAGGTTTAGCCTGAGTCATCACTGCTGAGGTCACACCAGGGTTGTGGAAATCCATGTGAAAGTTCAAACTCTCTTCAAACTCTCCGGTTTCCTTTTGCTTCTATGAAAGGACAGGTAACTTGAATTAGTCTGCCACAGCACACAACTCTGCCAGGTGAAGCAGCAGTGCTCTGCTCTAGGGTGACCAGAACTTTCTACAACATGGACATGGTATAGGTCACAATGGCTAAATGTCTAGCTCATGGGATTTTTATATTTTAAATATTATTTACCCACCCAACCTCCCCTAGGTCAATAGATACAGAGTGTTTCCATCACCCCAAAAGTTGCCCTTTCTTTGATAGCACAAGGCCACCCCCAGAAGTAACAATATTCTGACTTCTGTCACCATAAGTGGGTTCTGCTTATTCTCGTTTTATTTAAATAAAATTATATAGTACGGACTCCTTTGTGTCTGGCTTCTTTTGTTCAGGATAATGGCTATGACATAAGTCTGCGTTTTGTTTTTTTTTTTATTTTTTAAGACAGTCTCACTATATGATACAGGCTGGTCTTAAACTTAATTATGTAGCCCAGGTTGACCTTGAACTCACAATAATCCTTGTGCCTCAGCCCCCCAAGTGCTGGGACTCTGGGCGTGCACCACTGTATTCAGTTTGTGTTGCTCCTTTCACTGATACTCAGTATCACAGATTTTCCTGCCATGTATTATTCCATTGTATAAACACAGCACAATTATTTACCCTCTTCCTGTTTATAGACACATAAGTCGTTTTGGCCTTGATGAACAACACTGCTACAGACATTCTTGTACTTATCTTTTGGAGAACATGTGCACTTATTTTTCCCAGGGCTATAATTAGGGATGAAATGACTGGGTCATTGATAGGCTTTGTGAATAACTTTAATAGGTACTAGGTTGGGGTTTAATACGCTTCTGGAGGACTTCAACATCTAGCATTGGAACAACCTACTCAGGAAGTGTTGCACGTCTGTGAGGTAAGTGATAAACATCATGACAGAGCTGAAATGTTTGCCCTGAAGATGCTAATACAGCCACCTGAAGATGCTAATACAGCCACAAGACAAAGAAAGAAATGAAAATGCAACTAGGAAAACTTCTAGCTGGGTGAGGGGACGCACACCTGTACTCCCAGCACTTAGGAGGCTGTGGCAGGAAGACTGCCCTGAGCTTGAGCCCAGCCTCTGCTACATAGTGAGTTCAAGGCCCACCTGAACTACATAGTGAGACCCTGTTTCAAGAAAAAAAATTTAAAAAAAAAAAAAAAAACTCCTAGGTTTCTTATTTCCCATGATTTTCTTGAACAATAGAACTGTTTTTATTGGCAATGAAATGTTACATGGAAAACCAGTAACTCACGCTCTAAAGTAGAGCTGCTCTCACAGCAGAAGGATAAGGGGATTTGACTGCCTTTCCTTCTTCCCCTTCTCTGTCATGCAACCCAACACAGAAAAACACTGGTTCTGGACACATGCATAACACACACTGCAACAGGACTTACCAAGTAAGAAAGTATGCCATAGCCGCTTGCAGTCAGGAAGAACACCCCGTACTCCTTGTGGGTGGACAATAGTATAGGATGGATTCCAATCAAGTCCCTGATATATAAGAAAGTAAGAGTCTGCCACAGACCACCTCTATTTAGGATTCCAGTGCTTCTAAAATAAACTCAGGTAACCACTAAACCATCCTTTTCCTTCTCTAGCTCAGGAGGAATAAACATTGTGAATCTTACGTGATTACAGATGGAGCATCCCCAGGCCTCATTTGCAGTACTTGCAAATCCGCATTGACCAAGACGAGGGACTGACGATCGGGGGCCAGGTCTAGACTTGTCAGGACTCCAAATTCTTGCAGAACTTGTATCAGGTGAAGACTATAGTGCAAAAATGTACAAAGAAAGAGCTTATTTTAGTCAGCCTGCCTTGGGCTCCATAGCGCCCCATGCATCCCTCACAAGTGAAGTACAAAGCAAAAGCACTGCCTTCCCCACAACCTGCACATTTTTCCTAGTTTTGATGGTGCCAAGGGTCCAACCTACGGCCCTGAGCATGCTAGACCAGCCCCTAGTTTCCTTTATCAGTATTAGTATTCATCATCCCCTCCCCTTACTTCCTCAAACTGGGAACCAATAACACCCTTTCCTTTCCCTTCCACTCCTAGAGCCAGCTGATCAATAAGCTCTGCAGATTCTACCTGCAACACATTCATATGGGCATATCTTTCGTTTCCACTGCCCAGGTCAGGGTGAATGGTGTGTCTTCCTGGGGCTATAGCACTAGCTATGAAAGGTCTCCCTACCTTTGGTCACAACTACCATCCCTGTTGGGGACCAGGAACTGCACATTGACATAGTAGCTGTCCTAGGCTCTCCCTGCCCTGACTGCCTTGTGGCCAGGTTTGGAATGAGGAAATCACCTTCCTCTAAAGAGTTTAGCACCCAGGTGTGGGGAATGACCTTGGCTGGTTTCCTTTCTGATGTTAAACTTGCCCATTGTACCTCTGCCTCCGTGCTGTTCCAGGAAAAGCACACACACCCGCCCCCACACCCGCCCCCACTGGTTCTTAAAATGCCAGCTGGAGATTCGGGGCCTTTTGTTCCTAGACAGCAACTGGTGGTCCCAGATCCCTGCTATGCACCCCTCTACTTCGTCTCTTACTCTTTCTTTCCTTTCCTGCAGGAAGGTGCGCTGTAACCCAGGCAGCAGACTGGAACCCACTGCAGGGGTCCCTGATAACTGGCACTGTGGGAAGGGTCTCACAGAGGGTTGTTTCCCACCTGGCAATGTGGCAGATAGATGAAAAAACACAGAGATCTTCAGCTGAGGGGGCTCTGGATGACCCAGTGCTCTCAGCTGAACAAGGGGCCAAGAGTCTCTGTGCCCAAGGTTTTAACTGGTACCAATCAGGGAAGTGGGTGGGGGTTGCCGCAGAAGGCATGGGGAGAAAACTTTGCAGGTGTGGCTGGAAGGAGAGACAGAGCACCTTGCACCAGGCAAAGAGGCTCCCCAACTAGTGATGCAGCAGATAATTTGATGTATGCAAGGCTGGCACCTTTACTGCCAGGAAGGTATAATTCTTTTTTGTCCCATGCGGACAGCAGAGATGTCATCTCCTGTCTGAACCCTGGACCCTCACAGGCTCCTACTGGAGCCTCCATTCCAGCCATCAGCTGGGCAACTCTCACCTGTGTGCAGCTGCTTTGCTATATACTGAGACTCACTGCACATGGGCCTGACTTGATCACCTTCCTCTAGCCAATCAAGCGAACATCTGCTCCCACACAGCCAGCTCTGCAAGTCTCAGTGAATCAGGTTAAAGAAAAAGTCAGGGAAGGATGGAGGAGAGGGGCCGCATTTCTCAGGGGAGTGCGAGTGGCATAGTGGTCTCCCACAGGATCCATCTGTCCTCTACACTCCCACCAGAGTTTTCTCTCACTGAAGTTCTTTTTTAAATTTTTATCTATTTACTGATTTGTTTTTAGATAAGGTCCTGCTATGTAGCCCAGGCTGGCCTCAAACTCACAGAGATCCTCCTGCCTCATCCTCATGTGTGCTGGCAGTATAGGCATGCTCCATCATGCCCAGCTTCTCTCACTAAAGTTCTGGTCAAGAGGATTTGGCAGGGTTGTTCAGGGGCAGACTATATGCTTATTATCATGTGTGAGGCCACAGGTTTGCATGAAAAAAAGAAGAACGAAACAAAGCCAGCAAAAAAAAAAAAAAAAAAAAATCAAAGCTTTAAACCAAAAGCACTTATCAAAAAAAAAAAAAAAAAATCAGTATCAGAACTTTTTTTTCCTCCTTCTTTCTTTTGAGACAGGGGAGGGCCACTTGAACTCACTATGTAATTCCAGGTGTCCTCAAACTCAGGGTGATCTCCTTCTCTCAGCTTCCCTAGTACTGGGATTACATGATTGTGCCACCTTTCTACTGAAGTCTCAGTGCTGTGTGCTGTGCCCTAAGCAGCTTGGCCCCAGTTTATCTTTTCTATCTAAACTTCTCTCCTGCTCTTCAACCTCCCCTACTCCTCCCAGGAACCCACGGTCTTAGCTATACCACAAATTCACCACACAAATTCATGCTCCAGGCCTTTTAGTGATGCTACTTTTTCATGAAACACCAACCCCTTCCATCACTGGATTAGAAAACTCCTATTCATTCTTGTGCCCAACCTCAAATATCAACTCTTTCCAACAACTGCTCATATTCTGCAGTCTCTTAACCTACTGCAAGCTTCTTTAGTGAAAAATTAAAACTCAGCTGGGCGTGGTGGTATACGCCTACAATTACAGCCCTCCAGGAAGCTAAGGCAGAAAGATTTCAAGTTTGTGCCCAGCCTGGGCGAAGTGAGACTTAGTGAGATCCTCTCTCAAAATGAAATAAAGATCTGGGGATGTGCTCAGCATGGTCGCACATGCCTGTAATCCCAGCACTTGGGAGGCTGAGGCAGGAGGATCGTTGCGAGTTCAAGACCAGCCTGGGCTACAAAGTGAGCTCAAGGCCAGTCTGGGCTACAAAGTGAACTGCATAGCAAGACCCTGTCTCAAAGACAACAACAACAAAAAAGATCTGGGGATGCTGTTCAATATGGCCCTGGATTCAATTCCCCGTCCTATTAATTAATTAAAAAAAAAATTCAATTGTATCTGGTTCACTGGGCCCCGAGCTTGGCATGAAATAAATACCTGCAAAGAATTCACTTAAAGTAAGGGGCTGGGGATTTAGCTCAGCGGCAAAGCGCCTGCCTGGCAAGCGCAAGGTCGTGAGTTCGGTTCCCGGTACCGGAGAAAAACCCAAAAAAAAAAAAAAAAAAAAAAAAAGAATTCACTTAAAGTGACTTGCCAGGAGCAGAAAACATTTCCCACTCAATAAGTAGCATCCAGTTGACCTGCTAAGAAGCTGTGCTGAAACTCTCAGATAAAAGGAAACTGCATTCCTATCGCCTTCCCCCAGCTGCCTGGTTTCACCTGAATCTCCTGGACGTCGAACCCCTCTGCCACTCGAACCCATCCACTTGCCACTCGCTGATCTTTTCATCATCACTGAGAACAAGGAAGGTGTCTGATGAGATCCAGAGCAGAGTGCTGACCCGGCCTGGAACCTGGTGTGTATAACAAGTTCACTTCAGTCCTTCTGAGGAGCCAGGCTGAGCCTTCCCCCGCCAAACACGCATGCAACCTCCGCCCCAGCAAGTACCATGAAGCGCATGGCCAGGGCAGGACTCCCACGGAGAAAGGAGGCTGCCCCGAGTCACCTGTGCTGTAGCCACAGCCTTGGCTTCCTGCCACAGGGTTAATTCCCCAGCTTGATTTCCAGACACAGCCACAGAACCATCCGGGGCCCAGGCCACAGCGGTGATGGGTGTGAAACTCTTAGGCGCCTCGGTGTCATCTGGGGAAGAAAGGAAGTGACCCTTAGGACCTGGGCTAGTCCCGTGGCATCCGAGGGGCCAGGCTGCTTCTTTGCCTCAGCAACACAACCCTCTTTCATGCCTGTCGCTGGAGGCTGCACTCACCTGCCTCCTTAGGTACCTGGCAGAGCCGCACTGAACCGTCCTCCGAGGCCGTCAGCAGGAGGCCTGAGCTCTCGCAGACAGCAGCCGCGCTGACCTGACCGCTGTGTCCCGGGAGGCTGTGTGTCTGCCACACCTAGGAGGAAGGGATGCAGACGCCCCGCTACGCAGTGACCCACCGGGAAGCCGTGCTCCGTACCCTCTCCACCTCCCCCGGCCCCAGGGCTTGCAGGACACTCACCAAGAGTGGATACCACAGCCGTGTGGCCCCATCCAGCCCAACAGTCACCACCAGAAGCTCTGAGCCAGGCTGTCCAGCTGAGAAGACAAGGAGACAGAGTCAGGAGCAGGGTAAAGCAGGGCACAGGGAAGAGGCAGCGGGAAGAGGAGGCGAGGACACTTCACCACCTGCGCGGGGCTCCAGGGCAGCTGCGCACTGGCTGACGGGTCCCGAGTGGGCAGGGACGCTGGTCAGCTCCACACCTCCAAGGTCCCACACTTTCAAGGTGCCGTCCCGGCCCACAGACACCACGTGCTCTTCCTGCACCCAGAACACAAGATCAGGACATTCAGGGGAACCGGGACTCTCTCTATAGCGGGGAGGGCTGAGCACCCAGGACTCAGAAGATGCCCAAGAATGAGGAGAACTCAGGTGCAGTTCTCCTCATCAGGACTGCAATCCTGCCCCACAGTCCTCACACTAAGATGCACTTTTCACATCCCTATCTCTGTCCCCCACACCATAATCAAGTCCCAAACACATCTGTCTCCCCGGCCTTTTGCTTTGGGAGTGCACGCCCAACACACCCAGCCTCCCAAAGCCCCTGTGGACTCCCGGACACCCCCAGGGGCCTCTCCCTGCTTTCTCACCATAGCCACCACGGCGCTCACAGCACTCTGGTGACCCAGGAACCGACCAAGCTGCTGTCCTGACTCCGGGTCCCACAGCCCCACAGAGCCATCACTGGAGCAGGAGATCTGTGGTCAGAAGGAGAGGGATAGGGCTCTGGGCATCCCTCCTGCATCTGGCTGTGCTCATGACGTGGCTCGGGGACAGGAAGCCTTCCAATGAGGAGCAGGGGCCCCCAAGACTAAATCCCAGCTCCTCTGTGCATCACTTTGTGATGTGCGGCAAATTCATCTCTCCAAGCCTTGAGTTTCTGTTTCTGAACTATTTAAGAAAGAAAATAATAACCTACCCATCAGTATGTTTGTTATAGAACTGGATGCATCTCTGGAGAGGTCTTAGTGCCTGCCCAGTACACAGAGCACATATAATAGTCACAGTGGTACTTGTCATTAATATAGTGTCAGTCAGCAACTGCAGACAAAGGCAAAAACCCGCAGTGCTAAGTGTGGGCTGTGATAGAAAAGATTACAGTGAACCTACTGGAACAACAGTCACTCCCGTCTCCTCTTTGTGAGGACAGCATGGGGACTTGACCCTGGGAAACTCAGTTTCGCTAGCCCTGAGTCTGTAACTTGAGACTCATGTTGACCAAGTGTGGCAATGCACGCAGACAGCGCAGTTCAAGTCTGCTATATACTCAGTAAGCGCTAGCTTTGCCTACTGTGGTGGGCACGGGAAAGGGAATAAAATGGAGCGTTTTGCCTTCCTCCGGGAATCCTGCCAGGCTCTGTGCCAGTCCACGCTTTCACTCACCAGTAGGCCATCTTTGGTCCAGGCACAGCCAGTGACCCAGTCACGGTGACAGGCAGGGAAGGAGCGAATCAGAAGAGGGATTTGTGGTGTCCTCACGTCCCAGCAGAGGAGACTCTGGATGGTCCACGGAAAGAGAGGCCTCAGCACCACAGGGACGGGGCAGGAGCACCAGGGTCACGTGGAGCAAGAAGCTCCAGGGAAGGGAGGAGTGCGACAGCGTGCAGGAGGACAGACTGGCAGGAGACTCGGCCCAGAGCGAGGCAGGGGAAAGCAATGGGAAAATGGTCTCTGAAGGAACCTAGGAGCCAGGCTGCGCTGGGAGCCAGGGATCGCATCCCTCAGCAGCTCACCCGATCCCTGCCGCCACTGGCCAGGCTGCCTCCATCCACGCTGAAGCTACAGCAGCTGACCGGGCCCTGGTGTCCCCGGAGCTCAGCACCAAGGGGCAAGTCTCCTGCCTTGTGCTGCTGCATCAGCAGTTGCTTTGGCCAGAGCCGCACTGTGAAATCCTCTGCATTGGAAAGAGAGGAAGGCTTCCTGAGAGAGGACATGAGAGAGGCCTGGCATGGGGGACAGAGGCCAGCACGGGACCCAGGGCGATGCCTGAGGCAGGACTCCAGGAGAAGGAGGACCTGAGTGACAAGGATGTGGGAGGTCCTGGGTGGGGCCAGTCCTCTGGCGAGCACGCCCACCACTCACAGCTCCAGCTCTGCAGCTGCAGTCCGCAGTGTGGCTCCTTGTTGCTCTCTAAGGCCTGGCCAGCTTTCCCCATGCCTCTTCCCACCACTCCAGAGTTCCTTTCCTCTGAGAGGACCAGGCCACTCTTCCCGACACCTCCATTTCTCTAGCTCTTCGCAGGGAACCCACCTGTTTCCACAGCAAAGTCTCCCTCCCGCGGGCAGAAATGCAAAGCAGTGCTGGGGGTTCAGAGTCCCAAATGGGGGGTCAGGGAAACAGAAACTGTCTAAGGTGATTATGGAGGAGAAATCTGTCCAGAGCCCTTTGCAATGTGTAAAAACCACGCCCATCCGCACACTTTCAGGCCCATGCACGCATACAGTACTAGTAGAGGGAAAGTATTAAAATAGAGTAAAAAAGGCAGATTCACGAGACCCTGCCCTGCTCCGTAGTACCTGAGGCAGAAGCCAGGAGGTGCTGGGAGGTGGCCAGTCCCAGCACTGGCTTTTGGTTTCCGGGCAGGAGCCAGAGGGACTGAAGGGCGCTTTCCTCCAGCACCCAGCCCTGCAGGCTGCCGTCTTCTGCACCGCTCACCAGCACCGTGGGGCTCAGCCAGGCCACAGCAGACACGGCCACATCTTGCATTCGACGCTGCACCCACCGGGGACCTGGAGGAAGAGACAGAGTGAGCGAGGAAGACACTCGGAATGGGACGAGGCAAGCGGTGCCCGCTTTCCAAAGCTGCAAAAATCCATGCATTGCGCCTCAGTACCTGCAGGGACTTTGTAGATCTTAATGCCCTCGGTCCGGTACCCAACTGCCACCTGCTTGTGGTCGGGGCTGAGAGCCACAGAGAGGGCAGGAGAGAGAGGAACGGGGCCCAGGCAGCCCCCGGGTCGGCCAAGAGAACCTGACCACACCTGAACCTGGGAGCCGAGAAAACGGATTAACATTGTCCCACCTCCGCCACCTGGTCCTGCACCCAGACCGTGGCCATCCCATTAAGGTTCTCCTCCCGGAGACTGGCGAGCGCTGCCACGCACACACCGCCTTCTCTCCTCACAGCTCCAGCCTCCCAGCTCCTCTAGCTTTCTCCACACAGCCCTCACTCACCCACACCCTGCCTGTGCCACACCCTCCTCAGAGCCCACCCTAAGCCCTCGCCAACCAGACCTTGCCATCCTCTCCAGCTGTCAGTAATTGCCTCTGGGCATGCAGGAAAAGCACAGCAGAAACAAAGCCACAATGGGCAGGGAAGGCGGCCAGTCGTGCCCCCTCTTGCCAGGCCCACAGCTCCACCGTCCCATCCAGCCGGCCTACAACCACAACCCGGCCAGGTGCGCTGAAGGCCAAAGTCCTAACAGAGGCTCCTGGGGCCCCCAGTTCCTACATGGGAAAGTAGACATGGAAAGACCAGGGCTCCCTTTCAGCACAAACCAAAGTGACAGGGATCCAGACGTGCACCCCTCACTCCTGCCCGCTGTGCTTCCTCCCCAAGAGCTAAGGGGCTTCTACCTTGGTGCTTTTGAGTCCATCCACCTGGAAGAAGCTGACGCTGCCTGCCCAGCTGCCGGTGGCTAGTGCCTGCCCCTCTGGGTGGAAGGCAACGCAGGTGAGGGGCTTGGCACAAGTGTACTGGAAGGAGAGCTGCCCACAGACTGTGTCCCACAGCTGCAGGAGAGACAGCAGAGGAGTCGGGGCTAAGTACAGATGCACAGCTGCTCAGCCCCACAGCCCAATGCCACCTCCTCCAGTCCTTCACAGTACGAGGCAAGGGCTCCCCAGGCCAAGCAGCCAGCACCCCAGCCACACTGAGCGGACAAACTCACAGGGCTGATCTGCAGTCGGGTCACTTTGTTGTTACCTTTAGGCACCCTCCCAGGCACACGGTGGCCAGCAGCCGGTGGTCAGGGCTCAGGCAGCAGCCCGTGATTTGGAACTCGTGAGCCTTGGTCTGCAGCACCCTACCCAAGGAAGACAAAGTCAGGCCCCGGGTCCAAGAGGTCATGGCTCCCTCCTTATTCCTTTGCCTCTGGGCTTCTAATAGGGAAGGGCCTCACTCAGAGACATGGGGGACCTCCTCACCGACACCCGTGCTGCAGGTCCCAGAGCTCCAGGAGCCCATCGAAGGCGGCAAGGAACAGGGCATTGTCTGAGATGAAAGCACAGGACGAGATTCCATCACAGCCACTCACTACAGACTTCTCCTCCTGTAGAGCAGGACGGGAGGCGAGGCTCAGGCCACTTCCTGACCTTGCATGTCCAACCACTCCAGCCCCAACCGAAACCAAGGCCAAGGCAAGAAAGCCTGGAGTCCCCCGCTCTCTACAATCCAGGCCCAAAGCCATGCTCCAGTGGAAGTCCCGATCCATGTCAGCCTGGCTCTGCTCCGCTCCAAACCCCACACCTATCCCCAGTCAGATTTTCACAGTCTCGGAGAATGGGGTCACACGAATGCACGTACACAGGCTTGGGGGTGAAGCGGGTGGAGAGGAGGGAGCGGCTGTGGCAGTGGGACTCCCCTCCTCCACCTGAAGTACCACTGCCCTCCCCTCACCCCCGTCTGCGGTCCTTCCCAGCACCGTAAGGAAAACACTGCCCTTGTTCTGTGCTGCAGCCCCTCACTCACCCAGGGGCCTCCCTTCCTGCACCCTGCGTGTCTGCTTCCCACAAGACCACATGCGCTCCAGGACGGCAGAGCGTGGGTTTGGTTCCTGCCTCACCTTGCACGTCTTCTCCCAGGTCTGATTATGGGACAGGCAGAGACAGCGAGCCACGCTGACCACTGCGCTTCTTGTCACGTTACAGCGCTGTGACGGGCTGGGTCTGGACTTCCACCCAAAGCCTTGTGCAGTACAGAGGTCTGGGGCGGCGGAATCTAGAGTTTGTGACCAAGTCACAGTCTGATGCTGGGATTCAGGGTGCGAGTGCTGCACCCACTCTAGGGTGGGCAGTCTGCGCACAGTATGAGGGATGGAAAGGGTCTTACTCTTCTCTCCTCCTTTTCTCGCCTTTGCTGTCTTCTGCCGCCAGGAATGGTTGCCTGGCTGCCATGAACCGCCCCGCCTTGGAACCGCCCAGTGATGGACTGAAACCTCCACAAGCTGTGAGCTAAATGACCCTTTCCTCCTTTAACACTAGGCGTTGGCTATTTTGTCTCAGCAAGGAGAGAGAAGTAACCAAGACAACAGCTTGCAATGAACTCTGGGCAGTAAATATTGGCTGTTTGGATTTTTCTTTTCAGCCTTTGCACTGAGCTACATCCCCAGGTTTTTACTTTTTCTGAGACCAAATCTCAGCAAGTTGCCAAGTTGTGCAGGCTGTGCTCTGGTGGTCCTGCTCCAGCTTTGCAGACTGCTGAAGTACAGCCGTGCACCCGGCTGTGGGATTTCCTTTTCCGACCAAACCTTTGATGTGAAGTGAAACTGGTCAAGCTGCTGAATCAACCAGAGAGATCATGCATGCACCCAGCTGTGAGGGGCTCAGGGTTTTCTGCAGGTAACTTCTGCCCTGTCTCGAGTGTCCTACCTGCCAGGTTCTCAGGTCCAAAAGGTATACCGTCCCACTGGCAGTGCCCACAGCCGCTCTCTGCCCGCTAGGAGAGAAGGCTACGGCAGTTGGGGAGGAGGGAATTGCCAGAGACAGGCTGCAGCTGCAGGAAGAGCAGAAAAAGAGAAGCAATTAGGAGAAAAAAGCAACTGGAAATCTACTTCTTCCCCTCTGTAGTGGAATCCCCCTCTCCACGGTGATGGGGTCCGTCCTTTCCTTCTGGTTTCAGAAGGGCCGCAGCCCTTCTGCGGTCGACTTTCCAGGGCCTGAGGTCACAAGTCTCACCTCTGCTGAGCCCGCACACTCTGTGGCTTATTGAGCCATCGCAGCATGCGCGGGAGGCGCCCTCGCTGGGAGAGCAGCGGGGCCTGGCAGCAGACAGGTGAGTCTACAGGCTGGTTGGCCGCCTGCTGGTGCAGCAGTAGGGGGTAGCGGCTGAGGACTGGGGCCTGCTGCCTCAGGAAGGTGCGGAACACTGCAACATCAGCCTCAGGGAGCTCTTGTTCCTCCTCGGGGACTGAAGAAGCTAGAAAAAGAGAGAAGCAGAGAGTCACTGGGGAGCTGGCCAGACCCCGTGACCCAGAGACCACATACAAGCATCTGATGGGTCTGAAACAGGCTCCAAATGTGCTCGTCTGGCCCACATGAGAAACACTTGTGCAAAGCAGTGGAACGCTTTGGGCCCCTGCCAACCAAGGGAAGCAGAATCTGGGGCTCTCAGCATCTGCAATTTGAACACGTTTCCTAGTTTTCTGCCCACTGAATAAAGTCAGAACTTCTGATCCAAAGGTCTCAGCAAAAGTTCTCCAGAGAATTACTTGCTCACCCTCCCAGCACGGCACATTCAAACTTGGGGAAAAACCTGGCTGGTTTTTCCCGCTCCTTCTCCCGCCCAGTAGGGTTCTCGTGAGCACACTCAGGAGCTGGTGCCTCAGAGAGGAAACTGTCCAGGGTCTCGTCTCACCATAGAGGGCATGCGCCTCCAAGAGCTGGGGGAGCAGGCCCATGTCCACATGTGCGGCCACCACATGCAAACTGGTGAGGAACTTCGCCAGAAGGGCACGGTTCCCGCTCTGGAGCTGGGGAGGTCGGGGGCTCTCGTTAGTGGTAGGAAGAGGTGGTGAGGAGGCAATGGGAGGAAGCGCCGTCCAAACCCAGACCCCGCCTCTGTGGCCGGGACCTGGACCCACTTGTGGGACAGAGGACCTCAAGGAGGACAGGGAAACAGAAAGGGAAAAGGTGAAGGGAGCTTGGGAGGGAGGGAAACGGCAGTGATCATAGCGGTAGTGGGCAGGGGAGAGAGGTCTAAGAATAGCCCAAGAACCCAGGCATGGTGGCTCACACTGGTAATCCCAGCACTCCGGGAGGTGGACGCATGAGGATGGCAAGTTCAAGCCCAACCTGGGCAACTTAGGGACTTTGTGAGACTGTCTCAAAATAAAAGTAAAGGGCTGGGTATGCACCCCAGTGCAGGGCCTGGGCTAAATCCCTAGTATCCCAAAAACAAACAAGTAAGAATCACCAAGAAGTTGCTTGGGAAAGGTTCCCGTGGGATCTGGGGACTGACCAGGTGGTAAGGCAGGTCTCCCAGGGCCTCTGGAGGACAACGTCGGAAGGAGCCTGAAGCGTCGGGGTCGCATGTATTCCAGAGCAGAGCTGTAAGAAAAAAACCAAGTGCCAGGCTTAGTGGCACACAGCTATAATACAGCACTTCCAGGCTGAGACAGGGATCACCACGTTTGATGGGAGCCACTGGAAAGTAATTACATGTGCAAGACGAAGCCAGCCTGAGCACACAGGAGCTCCTCAAAGCACGGAAACAGGCCCTTGCAGCTTGTTAACTGATTGTTGGGCAGTGAGGCAGAAATTAATCAACTTCTCAAGGGTATAAGTAAATGCTTTACTGTTCTTGGAAAGTTCCCTTCTCTGCTCAGAGAGAGAGGACCTCCACCTGATCCCAGCTTTTTGTCTTTTGTCTGTTTCTCATTTTTGCCGCCATTCCTTCAGGGTAAAGCAAGATCCCTACGGATCCCTACAATTGGCGACCACAAAGGGAACACAGTAGGATAAAGAGAGCGGTGAGAATGCTTCCCAAGAGCACACAACAGAAGGGGGGAGTGCATTCGTGAGAGCTGGTATTCAGTACTGCAGTGCATGGTACCAGCACATCAGGTATAAAGCATGGGAATGTGTTTTCTTTAGGGCCAGAAAATAGACAGGCTTTAAAGAAGCCCAAAGAGAAAGGGGTATTGAAGTGCAGGTAGAGGCTCAAGACTCCCAGGCGGGTGTGCCTATAGAAGTGTTTATTGCATGTTTGACTCCTGAATTTAATTTTCTCGATGTTGGTTTGGAGGGGGTTTGTAACCACGAAGGATTTGGCTCAGAACATTATGTTAAAGTCAAGTCCTGAGCCTAAGGGGCGCATGGAGGGTGAAGCAGTGGCCCCACCTATAGACACTGAGCCCTCTAGCCTGGTCCAAGTTAAGGAGTGGTCAGGGACAAGAGGGACTTTTTCCCACCACAGCGGGGTTTCCTCGTGCATTGTTTCACAACACCAGATGACTTTGACTGAGCCACAGGCGGCTATCCCAGTCTTTTCTACTCGGGGGAATTTGGCTGCAACACAGATGTCCTCCGCCTGTCGGAATGCGGCCATTTTTCTCTGTTTCCCTTGCAATTGGCATTAAAAGATGCTAGAAGGCAGGGGAGACCATGGAGGGTTTTCAGCATATCTACCCTGTAACTGAAGTTCAAGTCCCTGAAAATCCGGGACAAGTTATACGTCATTATGAAGCTACACCCTTTGAAACACTAAAAGAGTTAAACTGTTGCTACTTATGGTCCTACTTCTCCCTTTACTGTGAGTTTAGTAGAGATTCTAGGACAACAGATTATGGTCCCAAATGACTGGAAGGCCATAGCCAAAGCGTGTTTGAATCCAGGTGATTACTTATCATGGAAAGGAAACTCCTTTGAATATTGCACAGACCAGGCAATTTGTAATGCTGTTCATAACATAGCCATTACAAAGGATACACTAGTCAGGGAAGGTGCCTTTGCTATCACCAATAATCAACTGACCTTTGATCTACCAGTATATGAGCAAACCAAGATGGCCGCCATGAGGGCTTGGAGGGAACTTCCTTCCAAGTGTGAGACACCTCCTAATTTGGCTTCTATTTATCATGGCCAGATGAGACTTTTCAAGATTTCGCCACACACTTATTGCAAACTAGTGAGAGGATCATAGGTAACACAGAAGCTAGCAAATTAACAGTTCAACAACTGGCCTTTAAAAATGCCAATAGATGCTGTAAAGAAGCTTTAAGAGCCCACAAAGACGACATTGCCAGAGGTACTTCAGATTTTGTGCAGATATCGCCCCTCATATGTACAGGGGCTGCCTTGGCAGCAGCTATTACTCAAGTTGTTCATCCACAGGCTGGAGGAAAGGGAAAAAACAAGTGTTTGTTTTTGTTGCGGCAATAAGGGATATTTTGCCCAGAATTGCTCTGCTACACCTATAAGGGTGGCAGAGACATTATCTGTCCCTTCAACTAAACCTGGCAGTCCTCGTACTGTCAACATGGGTATCACTGGAATAATCAGTGGAGATCTAGAACTGTTGGAAAAGGTTGGTTCTTCTCAAGAAACACTGGAACTTACTTCGGCCCCATCAAATAATAGGGGCCACCCAGATGGCTGCAGTGGGGGACAAGGTGCTGGGCACATTCACGTACCTGATGTATGCCCCCTTACTCCTATCCTTTCCCCTACCCACTGGATGCCAAGGCCACTGATGCCTGGCAGCTCTGCAGCAGGGGACACCCTCCTGCCTCATTCTCCTCTGCCACACTCTGTTGCCACTTAAACCCAGGCTTTGATCTGTGCCCCTGAAGGTGCAGCTGCTGCGATGTTGGGGTGCAGGTGAAACCGCAGTGTGATGCTTCAGTTCAGTGTGCACGCGGATGGCAGATGCCACTGTGCCGGGCTCAGGAGTCCAGAACCTCAGCCAGCCCGGCACACTTCCCGCGCTCCCACTGCCTCACTGGCTGCCTGAAGGCCCAGGTGAGCACGCAGGGCCCTGCAGTACCAGAAGGGACAAGGAGGCAGTGAGCAAGGCTTCCCCACTGCCAAGGGACGGGCAGGAACAGCAGGAGGCTCAAACTAGTGAGGCAGCCACCCAGCCCACGCTGCAAGGGCCAAAGCGGCCCCTGGCAACAGGGAGTGCTGGGGACAGTGGGGATGCGACTGGCACTGCACAGGAGAGGTCGCCGCTGGGTGCCGAGCCAGGCAAGGAGCGCCTGCCCTTCCAGCAAAACTGTGGCTATTATCACTGCAAAGACTGCAACATTCTCTGGGAGAGTGCACACATGTGATATGTTCAGAGCATGAACGAGGTTTACTTCAGTTTTGCAGAACCTGTCAAAAATCTTACAACCCTTACGGACTGGAGGACATCATCTGTCAAAGTTGTAAAAGAACTAGATGTTCCTGCTCAGTAAGGCTTCACTGCAAGGGCCCCAAACACCCCCATTGTCAAGACTTGTGTGAGAGATGCAGGGGCAGGCGCCTGTCCTGTGCCGGTGCTGATACTTGGAATCCAGACAGAAACAAAATGTCCAGCGGCCAGAGCAAAAGTGACAGCCAACATGCACAGTGGCTGGGCACCACCATCAAGCCACTTGTGGGGGTGGTGCAGGCAGTGGAGCCCATTCCCGAGAATAAAGCAGAACTAGTGAGGCCCTGCCACCAACTCACCCAGCCCCGCAAGGCAATAAAATAAAAGCTGTAGCCAATTCCTGCCAGAGCCTAAAGTATCAGTGCAGCTCTGCCCAAGGCCCTGACTGGGGGCTGCTGCCGCAAAAGCAGCCACGCCCTCCCACCTTGCTGCTGGGGGCTGCTCGAGGCCACTCCCATTCCCTTGCCCACAGTGCCCTTGCCCACAGCGCCCTTCCCCCAGCTCACTGCTGCTCTGGTCCAGGTGCTACAGGACACACTGGGGTGCCGGACAGAATCGGGGACAAAGAGGCCAAGGCCTGGAACAAAAATGGAGGAGACCGCCCAGCGAGTAGCTGGCAAAAGACTATAAAGCTAGATGGGCCTGCAGAGGGTGGCAGGGGCAGGGATGAGGAGCTGTGGGGCACACACAGGACCTCGGTCAGGAAGCAAAGGAGGACACAGTTGTGGAGGCTGGCAAGGTAGCATAGGACTGGGGCATGAACAGCTCCAGACAGCCAGGGGACCTTCCAGTGGTGGCTAGCTGGTGCCCAAGCCCCAGGGAGGAAGGACAGGGTCACCCAACACTGGCCCAGCCGTGCCAGGACTATACTAGCTGGCGCTGCACCTTGCGGCACCGCACATGGCAAGGGCAGTAGCAGGGCCAGGCGGGTGACACGGGCTGAATAGCTAGTGACCAGGGCCCAAGTGACCCAGAAGCTGGTGGGACCTGGTAGTGGCAATAGGCAGCAGGGAGTGAGGGCCAAGTCCCTCGTGACCTTTGTGGCAAGCGTCTCCAAGGCAGAGGGGATGCTCAGTCACCCTGCTGCAGGACATACAAGGCCTGTTCCCTGAGCTGTATGGCTTCCTACAGGACTTCATGCCTCAGGTGCTATGCCAGATAATACAGCAACAAGCTACAGCTTAGGACTGACACTTGCCAAGGAGTGTCCATGTGTGAGTGGTTTATTCTCCTAATATAATGGCTCTAGCCAGTAGCAAAGTGGGAGATTTCCTCTTGCATCAACCTGATCCTGCATTTAAAATCCATTTTATGGGTAGACACACATTTTATGTTTTGGAATTTTAGAGGTAATTAATTTAGCTAGCCAAATTAAAGTTGAATGACCTTTTTCAAGTACAACCCGAGTCTCTGTGTGTCTACTCCTAGACATCACATGGATCCTTTTAAGAGGGATCCTAAAAATGTCCTGATAATTGACTTCTTTGGATGTGTATGGAAGTAACAGTTACAACAGAGATTATTAGTTTGTGACAGTCTTCAGAAATCACAGAAAGCAGCCACATCTTCCTGATGCTTGCTGACGATATGGCCTGCAATCCTAGAAATCGTAAACCTGCTACCATGTTTAGTCACAAGTATGTGGAACTAAATGTGTACAGAAATAATATGAAAGTGGACTGTAGAAGCTATGAGATGAAAGAATTTTATACAAAGAATATATATATTCATTACAGATTTAAGATTGTATTCTATCTAAATTTTTTGATAAAACATCTGTTAATTGATGAACAAAATCTGACTAGTCTATTTAAAATTATAAATTTCTAAAAATTGTAAGAGTTACTGTAATTCAATTTGTTCTAGAATATATCTGAGTGCACTCTGATTTTGTAAGATGTTTGCATGTCCTATGTATTTGTTATATGTTTGTCGTTTTGTAAACAGCTGTTTCCCTTTATTTTGAGCACAACCATTTTTCTTTTATCATCTGTCTATAATACAATTCGGATTATAGACTTAAAAGCATGCTTTTTCCTGAGTTACCAACTGGTTTAAAAAATTGGTTTTCTCACAGCTCATCAAAAAAAAAAAAAATTAAGATATTTAACCACAATTCTTTAGGGGGAGGAGAAATTATTGGGCAAAACTCCAGTTGGTGAATAGGGTGGCCAACCTTTATTCATTAATGAGGAGCCCCCAATGATCTCCAGAGTCTCTGGGGAGACACCCCCAATAATTTGGTCATGGTTAAAAGTGTTCCAGAAAAAAAAAAGTAAGATGTTCTCATAAAAGATGTTCTTAGTATGAAACTAAATTAAGAGCCAAAGGTTTTCATATGTGTATGGTAATTTATTATTGTTAATTTCATAGTGTATTGATTGAAATGTATTTATGATTCTGGATATACAGGTCTTCAAAATGTAAAGCAAGGATTGCTTATGGTAAGACCTTTTGTTCAGATTCAGACCTTTGTCTTTAAAAACTTATGTATATCTCGTTAAAGGATAACAAATTAGAGAAAAGCTCCGTATCTATTAGATAGAGATGATTGGTTGAAAGGGTTATGTTATGTCAAAATGAAATTTTAAGTATATTACAAAATGTCATGATTGTCATGTGGCAATGTGATGTGTGCATTTGGTTTCTAATTTCAATGTATAAATATGTAACTCACCTGTTAATAGGGATTTAAATGATAGGGTATCCATGGTTGTTAAGAAAATAACAGTTCCATTTTATGTTCTAAGGTGTCTGATTTTCAGATAGTAATGTTAAGCTTACTGCCTCTATTACAGTGTAATGTCATTAAGCTTCTCTTCTGAATGTTTAACAACTGAGATTTGGAGACCAAAAAATTTAAAAGATAAATGGGCTAAGAGGAGAGTCAATATTTTGGCCCTGACCCTCTGAGGTCAGAGTAAACCCAGGACAGAAGAGAACCTCTGCTATGGCATCCTACAACTCAGTTAAGCCCCTGATTTTCTGATAAAGGAGATCATGGGACCACAGAGGAAAATGATTCAAGGATGTACAGTGTGCCTAAGGAGAGTCACTTGGACAGATAAAGTCTTTCAGGCTTTCACAGAAAGCCGCTTGGTCAAGCAATGGCCTTGACTCATCCAGATGGCTGACACTGACAGTGAATCTAGCAGTGCTGTACGTGGTTCCAAAGCAACCCCAAGGGGACTTAACTGACCTTGATGGATAAGAAGAAAAGGATTAATATGGTTCTCGCCTTAACTTGGTCTTAAACATCCAGCAGAAATGCATAACCACAAGATGTATGAATAAGCATTGTCATAGTAAGATGTTAGCATTGTCATGTTAGTAGATGTTAGTAAACGGTTCAAATCTCCAACTTTGACATTTTTCCAACTAGACGGGCAAATGACTACTGTTAGGGATGTTGGGAGTGTATTCTCCAAGTACAGCATTTCCAGCTAATCGTGCATCATTTACAAAGCAGAGAAGAGAGAGATGTTGGGAGCCGCGTAAGTTGGAAAGTCGTTACATGTGCAGGACAAAGCCAGCAAGAGAACACAGGAGCTCCTCGAAGCATGGAAACAGGTCTTTGCAGTTCGTTAACTGATTGATGGGCAGCGAGGCGGAAATTAACCAACTTCTTGAGGGTATAAATAAAAGCTCTGCTGTTCTTGGGGAGTCCCCTTCTCTGCTCAGAGAGGACCTCCACCTGATCCCAGCTTTTTGTCTCTTGTCTATGTTTTCTCATTCTTGCCACGGTTCCTTCCCGGGGTACAGCAAGACCCCAGCGGATCCCTACAAGCCTGGGATGTCAAGGCCAGCCTGAACTACACAGCAAGACCCTGTCTCAAAACAAACACCCCACCAAAACCAGACACTGAGAAGGCTCAGCCCTGCAGCATCCTGAAGCTCACATCCCTTGGGCTGCAGCAGCGTCATCCCCCTCTGAAATGGCACGGGTTGTGGTCACAGACAGGGGCACCCGTGGGTGTTCTGCCCCCTAGGTGCAGCACCCAGACCTAGTGCCCAGCCGACCCGGCTGCACTCACCTGCAGTAAGGACATGTGCCGTGTTCTGCAGCCCTCGCCTCTTCCCATAGCGACGCCTGGCTGCTGTCTTCAGGGGCCCATCCGGGAGGCGGAGGCGGGCACCAGGACGCTCCAGAGGGCCCTCCCCTAGCAAACTGTGCCCAGGAGAATTGGACAGAGGAGCGGGGAGGAGAGCACAGAGGCCAGTCAGGGAGCACCCTGGCTCAGTGCTGGCCTCATTCCCGCCTCGGAGGGGGTGGGGCGACCGGAGTTGCATCTGATGCAGAGCTGGGAGGCAGCTGTTCGAGGGACCCCAGGGAAGGGGAGATCGAGCAAGGGTCTGGGTTCAACGATGGGAAGGCACAGTGCCCTGGGCAGTGGGAGCCGGGGGGCCCCTGTACCTGCGCAGGCTCTGCACGAGGTAGGCAAACGGGCCCATGGGGTAGGGCTCTCCACTGTTTACAGCAGCCAGCGCGTCTTCCCAGTGCTCAGCCCCCTTGGGCAGATTCCGCCACGCACTGAGCACTGCATGCAGCTGCTCCACAGCCAGACCTGAGAACCCAGGCTCTCTGAGGCCCAACCCAAGCCACACAGCACTACCTCGCCCACGACACCTGGTCCCGCCTCGCCCTGCTGGGGGAGATCCCAGCTGAATCAAGGCACCCAAGCCCTGAGAACCTCCACCTCCATCCTGCCCCAACCACTGACCACTGTGTGTGACTTCCAGGGTGGCCAGGGCTTGGGGAAGGACGTCGTGGCCGTGCTCCTGCTCCAGGGTGCTCAGGATGTGCTCCAGCAGCAGGGGCACGGTGGCAGGCAGGGCGCGAAGTCTCTCAGACACCTGGCAGGGGAAGGAGCCCAGGCTTCATGGGCAGCAGCAGGCTTGGGCAGGGAAGGGAGCAGCAGGCACAACACGGGGAAGAGAGACAGGTGGAGAGAAGTGGGTGTGGGTGACGCCAGGATCGGGAATGGGTGATCACAGATGGCAAAGGTGAGAGATGGGAATGAGGTACAGAGCCCAAGGAGCGGGACGGAGAAGGGGAAGTGGGTCAGGACTTGACAGATGCAGAGCAACCGACCTGCTCATAGAGTGTGAAGAGCCTCAGGTGATCGGTGACCAGGCGCAGGTAGAGTGGCAGGCCTGACGCCCGCTTCACCAGCAGCAGCTGCATCTGGTGAGGTGCACAGGACTCAGCGTGGGGACCAGGGAGCCCGCCACAGCCGGCCTCCATCCCCAGCACCAAGCTCACTGCATGCAGTTCCTTCTCTGAAAGTCCCATCAGCCGACAGCCCACGGCGGCACTGTGGGGTACAGCATCCCTCCCCGCTCCCAGCAGCCCCGCTGTCAGGACACTCGCATGGTGCAGGCTGCGCCACAGTAAGCGGTTCACTTGTCCAGCCTCCCCTATGGGTGCTGGCGAGGCACTCTTATTAACAACTTCCCCTGTCAAAAGTGCTTGTGAAAACAAAGCAGAAGCCCACGCAGGACAGGGCACAGCCTCAGCATCGCGCACCCCCCACCTCTCAGAGCTGCCCACAAACCCACTAGCCCCGGCCTAGGCCCAACCTGGTTGTTGAAAGGTGACTCCTCCAGCCGCTTCCCATATAGCGCCAGCTCCTCCCTCACCAGCTGGGCCCGGGCAGATGGTTCCAGAGGCCCGAGGGCCACCACGTGGGCACCTTGGCTCTGCTCAAGGGTCTCCCCAAGGCCAGAATCACTAGACACACTCAGCACCAGGTGTACCCACTGTGGTTTGAGGGGCCAAGGAGCAGAAGGCGGGGCAAAGGGAAGAAACCACATGAGAGAGGCCCTCTCCTCCCTAGGCACCCCTCCCTCCCCCTTCCCTTCCGTACCCCAACTTCCTTCTCACACTCACCCGCGGAAGGGTCGTTGGGATCCAATCTGAGGTCAGCTGCCCGTTCTGGTTCACCATCTTGTCAGCCCCATCAATGATCAACACCAGGGTCTGGCCAGGCTGCAGGGTCTTAGCACACGTGGGCAACAGCTTGTGCTGAAGCTCCCACACCAGGCCCCTGTGTGGGGAAGGGCAGCTGGCGTCAGGGAGACGGAGAGCTGCAGGAACTGGGGCTGGGGCTGGGGCTGGCAAAGGGGGCCGTACGCACCGGTACGTGCTGGGGAGGGCACTCGCTGTGTGCACGTGTCTACGCAGATAGGCACACAGGCGCCTGAGCAGGTTGAGGGCGAGACCCTGGTCAGGGCGGGCTCCTGAGAAGTGGAAGAAGACTGAGGGCGCTACCTTGACCCCATCAGGAGCCTGCAGGGCTGACACAAGGGATGCCTGCATGGGACAGGAACGAAAACACGGTGACATTTCATGACCTGCACAGCTCCCGTGCCCACCACCTTAGCTACCCAGCATCCTTCCCCACCAACCCCGGTGCCCTGCCCTTGGGACTCATACCAGGAAGGTGGTCTTGCCCTGTCCCGACTGCCCAGTCACGACGCTCAGCTTCCCATGGGGCAGCGTCAGCTGCCGCACTGTGTCCCTAAGCAGCCGCGGCCGGGCAGGACTGGGTGGGCTCCGTAGCTCCTGAAAGGTGGCCTGCACCAAATCATCCTCTGGGATGGACACTGGCCACTCCAGCTCGGGCCCAGGCTGAGGGTACACAGGGCGGCGACTACTCAGCTTTCCTCGCTCCTGATGGACAGAATCCCCACCCAGGAGTCTCCCGGTTCCCCTCTGCACTGCTCTGGCCATCAGCACTTCTGCTCACCTCTAAGTAGAGCTTCTGGATCATATTCCACACATCCTGGAGAACCAACTGCCCAAACTCCTCTAGCCCCCCAGCGTAGGGGCGGCCAGCTGCTGTGCCCCCCCATTCACAGGAGTATCTGCAGGCAAAGCGAACACACAGAGTCAGAGTGGGCCTGGCTGCCCGCACC